CTCTGGCGCCACCACTGCTTTGGGAAGAAAACACAATTCGTCGGAGAGAAAAAAAAATTATATGTTATCTTTATGAAATTCTAAAACCAGTTATATAAGCCTTTGAATACCCTAAACAATTGTCATAGTTTACCGGGGTCTCACGCCGGCCCTGGACTAGCCTACTTCCGAGTGATTTTGAGCCGACGCCTAACTACCATACATCCACTTAGCAAATCCAGGCGCCGCTTCTTTTATTAGTCGCCCTGCTTACTCCTGTAGGTTGTTATTGTAAAAAACAGCTTCACAGCGGTCCTGGATATATAGCTAGGATGTATAACAGAACTTTCAAATTATCAGTTATTGGAACTAATTTTATCTAACAGCAGCCTTACCTCTTCCAACAATTTTAGCTATGCTTTACTGACATCACCTTCCTGTTGTACCATCGCGCCTGTGAATGCAGGTTCATTGAGCGCGTTGAATAGGCCTATGCTTTGTTATCCTAAGATCTATAATGTGAGTGAATAAATTTAATCAATAAACTACCAGTGCGTGACTCTATATTTGGGTTGGGGGAAAACCAATTACAAGATCTTTGGCGAAATATGCAGCATCGGTTTAACGGTAACTATTTGAACACAAAAGATAGACAAAAGCGGTGTGTTGTTTAACAATTGAAAAGGCAAATAATATAGCCTAAATAAATTTCAATAGCAGTGATGGTGATACCATGAGTGTAGTGGTATTAGGTCTAAACACTTACTTAATTTACTATAGTTGCGAACAGAATGAAATATGAAGTGTCGGTACGAAATGAAAATGTAATAAAACGAAGGTAATCATACTGTGCATGTGAATACACCAAAAGTTTCGCTGTTCTTGTGTAGGTATCACGTATTGTAAGCCAACGACTCCCATAGTTGCTGCAGCCATTATATGAATGCTTTTTATGAAGCATTTTTCTATACCAAATAGTTTTATGGATCAATAAGCAAGAGGAAGCGGTTGGCGCAACGGTTGTCGTCTAGGCTTTATTTGTCTCTCCACCCAGCGGTATGTGCCTGGGCAAAAATTAAAATGTCAAAACACTGATTAGCTGCTTCAACACACACCATTTGTTTTTAGATAGTTTATTAGAGATTAATATTGATTACCTAGCAAAATTTATTTATTTTATTTTTCATTTATTTCCACCAGCAGCGAAGATTACCACTTAATTATAGGATTATGATCATAATTAGTTAATTAATTTTAATTAAGTTTAATATTATTTGTTCAGCTTTAATTTTTCTTTAATCTTAAAAGAATTACTTACAATATATAGGCCTAATAGTATTATATATATACATATATATATATAGTATAATATATTCCGCAATGTTTTCTTGTGGCTTGGTTGTTACTCTGAGTTTCGCGCCCTATGGCGGTCATCAGACAACTGGCAGCCTAAGGTTGTTACTTGATGTTACACCCATTTGTCACCTGTTTCCCTTTCATATTTAGAATTGTTGTGACGGCACTTAGTGATGAGCTCGTTTATATTGTTGGGTTCTTTGTAGCCGAACTAGTATCTTATGATCATGGTTACTTCTTGTACAGTATAACATCCCTTTTCGTGCTTTTGTTTGTATTCATATTTTATTTTATTATTTCATTAATATTATTACATGTAGCTGATTATGTGTTTCGTCGGTGTATAATCCAATAATCGGGTAACAGCAGAATGCCTATTTGTGAAGCGCATGTATTGACATGACGCGTTATTAATTGTTAAGAGTTTATTATTAGTGTTGTTAATGTGTATAAGCATGAATGGTATATAAATTCCAATGGTCCTAAGATATGTATGTATGATTTATAGGATGCATTGACTTTTAGCAGATTATTAATATAGTATGAGCAGGAGCTCCTACGTCCTAATTGGCCGTTTGGTGTTGGTGGAGTAAATCCTGGCCGGACTAAAATCGGCGATAGAGGGCGCCACTTATATAGGCCTAACATTCCTCTAAACACAAGAAGGGCGGAATCCGACACTTGATGTATTGACGGGTAAATTGAATTATCGCCTTGTGAATTGAAAATAATAGTTTATGTAAAAAGATGCAAACAAATCTGATCCTTTAATGGCACATACTCTATTATTATTATCAGTATTGCAGTACTGTTGCATAGCAATGTATATAGTAAACATGCCCGTTGACCTTTAGAACGATACTTACTTCAGAAACATTGTTCCTCGATTCTCCAATATTATTGTGATACAAAGGTCAGTCACTACTAGACGATCAAATACAAAATTGTAAATGCAGTTTATTGCGAAATGCTAAACGTGACGTTTTTAGCTGATTTTGTTTTGTGGGGATTTTGATTTAATTGTCCGTTGTTTTCGGTATTTGACTCAGTTTTCTTTTCCGAGCTTCTATCAACATCCGTGCTTTCATCAATATTATTATTACTATTGCTATTATTATTATTACTATTAATATTAATACTACTACTATTAAGTATTCCTAATATACCATCAGGTACATATGCCTCTTCTTCTTTTCTATCTTTGCCGTTTTCTTTATCATTCGATATTTCTTTTATTTTATTTACTTCTATTTTTCCTCTTTCCTCTACTTCCTCTTGTTCTTCCTCTTCGTATACTATTTCTTCCTTAAATTTTCCTAACTTTTCCTTAAAGCCTTGAGTTGAATATTGATGTAATCCCATAGGATAGCGCGTATCTTCGCTGTGCGTATGTACAGTGACAACGCCATGAACCTCTTGGTCAGCGGGTGTTTGAGTGACGCCATATGGAATGTGTTCCTCCTTCGGCTTCTTGAAATTATCAACCTCTTCTTCAAATATTGAAGCGTGTTCAACAATTTCGTCAGAGTTTGATGTTATTTCATTTATACAGATAGGTATGTTTTTATTGGTTTGCTTTTTTCCTATGTTGATAGGGAAATCATCACCTTGGTCTTTAATAAAACTGTCGCTATTAACTTCTAGGCCTACACCCACTTTTATTTGTTTTTCCGATGTGGTGATTGTTACATTATTTGAAGTTTCGCCACCAAGGTTGCCAGATTTTTCCGTCTTACTTGTGCCTAGTTCTTGAAAATCAACGTCAGTGACCTGCAGGTCATGCCTAATGAAACCAGGAGTCTTTGGCTTTGATCTGCCTTTAGATTTCTCTTTTCGTTTATCATTTTTGCCTGTAATTTCTAAGAATACGCTGGATTCTTTAACAAGGGTTGTTTTTAGTGACCCTAGTTTTCTGGGCATTTTTCGTGAAGGCAGCGGATGCGGGAAAACTTCAGTTCCATTGGGAAACTTGTGATCAAATACCTGGAGTTGAATGAACGTCTTCATAGGTATCATTGCTTTATGTTGCTGCAGACTTTCAGCGTTCGTCTCTGTGGCGAAAAATGACTTATCAGTGAAACACTTCTCTCTGCCATTTTGACTAGAAACGTGTAATTCTTTTTTGGTAGGCAACTGTTTGTTACGTTTCATTGCTATATTCGGTGTATGTCCAGATTGCAGTTTTAGGTCAATTACGCTCATTTCTTTTCGTACACCTCTATCCTCATGACTCAAACTTGGTAGCTCTTGTTTTTCGCTCCCTTGTAAATTATTGTCGGTTTTTCTTACAGAGGAAAGTAGATCTTCATTCGTGTTAACATCATTTGACAACACATATCTTTTCTTCGTATCTGATATTCCGTTTGGTGGGTCCATTAGCGATAGCAAGAACGTTTTTATGTGCTGTTTTTCTGATAGTGCTGTTGTCTGATTCGGCGAAGTTCCTATATCAATATTTCTATATTCAGTATTTGAAGTTGCACTTGTCTGCTGAATGTTAGGATTTTGTTCTGGGGCCCTGTTTGATTGCACATGAGCTTGCTCTTCACCAAGCGTTGTTAAAAGACTATTTCTGTTGTTTACCTTCTTAAAGGTTTGTTTTGATTGCTGCTTCAAGTTATACACATGTCGCAGTGCTACAGGACTCGACAGGGCTAACTGGCTCAAAATACGATTTCTCGTCTGCAAACTACTCAAAGGAAAACTTTTACTGAGCAGATACTCTGGATGGGCCACTTTGATTGGCTTTTTTATCACACACAATTCTTTCAGGTTCTCAGGACAGAGATTATCTTTATGCAGTTTATGAATCCAGTTTTCAACAAATTCAATTCTACGGTCCGTATCGTCTGCTGATTTTGATTTAATTTTTGGCAAAACAACTTTGTTGCCATGTTCGTCAAAGGTTACAATCTTCTGTCGGTGAGATGGTAAAGGACGTTTTGGTTTTGGTTTAGAGACTTTTCCAAGGTCGTTAACTGGCCGAAGAGTGTCTATATCAGATATCATGATATGATGAATATTATTGGCAGATTTCTTCATAGTCAACTCTTTTGGAGATAGTGGGTGCCTTGGACTTTTGGAATTCCGGTATATTTCAATAGCTTTAAAGTCTGTTGGAGATGCAGTTGAATGTCGTGATTGAATAGCTGTAGTGAAAGCTGCTTCGCTATTTTTTTTGTCTTCGTTTTTTACATTTTCTGTTTCAAGTGATTCGTCTACTAACTGCTCGCGTGGAGGACTGTTATCATGACTGTTGGTTGTTGTGGACTGGTTGCGTTGTTTCTCAAGTTGTGCCTGTTGCATGAGGTTCACAAGCTCACGATGTGAATCAGCGAGATACCATTGGCGTGGATCCGTTAAATCCCGCATTATACTTTCATGAGACCGTGTAAGAATGTCACGAGGGCTTATCATCGCCTTATTCACCGAATTATCAAGGTCCTGTCGCATCGACCTCTGTAGCGTCTGCGTATACTGATCCAGCGAATCCATGATGGAGAATGAGTTGCTATGCTTGTTGGCTATTTACCCGGTCAGGTAAATCTACACCCGAAGCCCTGTGGAAACGACAATAAGTAGTTATTAGAAGTGGCCTCTTAGGGCTAATGTCAACAAAAACTTTAGAATGTGGAACTTAGCCCTGCTATTTCAATGAACGAAACAGAATCACTGTGATGCGATCGGCGCATTCGTTGTTATGTTGAAACACACAACGTAAGTACCTATAATGATTCAATATCGCTATAGCAAGCACGCTAAAATTGAGTGATTACCTGTTCTCTATCGAACATTAATTTGATTGAAATCGCCAAGATGACACACTCCGAATTGACGTGACTAGAATGATGGACAGTTGACAACATATCAGAAATTAGGCCTAAAGATTAATTAATACTATATTCTGATTACATTTCTAAGACTTCTTTCTTACAAGGTCTCGTATCAATTCACCTTTTATTTCGGATAGTTCAACACAGTACTGTACAATCACAAATAAATTTCACCCAAGTACTGTAAAGCACTAAGTAATCCAAACAATAATAAGTAATATAAAAAAAAGTTAATAAGTTAATAACAGAGATTTGTG